GCAACAACGATGGTAACACCATCGCGTGTCCGCTTGTTTATTTTCCACATAAGCCTTTCACAATAAAGCTCAAGATCCTGTTGAGACTTTTCAAAATAAACTGAATTATGTGAAAGAGTATGCAGACGAGAAGCAAAAAAGAGCCGTCAGGTGCTAAAAAATAAACCTTAGACTCAAACGTTAGAACAGGCTTTTCCCCGCAGCACGCCGTGTAATAAATACTCACAAAGAAAACAGCGGCCGTTACAACTTATGTCTAAAAATGTATCGTTTCATGCATCGATTAAAACGCTCGACTCCAGGTACGCGACGCCCAGCTGGAAACACTTCACGCAAGTCGAGCTGCCCGAGATTCACAGAATTTACAGAAAATGTTACATTTTTGTGATTTATATCGTTATCGGACGATAGATGTCTTATATCGGGTTATAAGATTTTGGTCATATCGCACAGCCCTAGCTGACAGTACAACAGCTTGTACCACAGACAAATCACATCGAAACACTAGTCAGACTGCTGTTGGTGGTGTAATGGTTTTTATAATGGTCATTTTGCACACTTTGCCTCTTAGTATCAACTGTGCATCATTCATTTACAGTATTGTTGCTCACCTATCACTGTCTGTCCCTTTAGTGTACCCAACACACTCTGTCACAAAGTTTAAATCATCTTAAACTAGTTTCTTAAACATGTTATCATGTCAATATGGACCAAAATCTCTGAACAATGTTTCCATCAGCTTTTTGAATCAAAATAGTTTTTCTTTTCTTTTCTTTTCTTATCTTTTCTTTTTCAATGTTTTTATGTGTATTTTGTTTGTTTTCATAAAGCCACATCTGCAAGTTTGTTATGCAACCTTGTGCTTCTTAATGACAGTTAAACTGACCTTGAATTTCAAATCTTAAGGGTGTGAATTTGGTGGGTCACCTAAAGGCTTGGCTTCTCTTTCTGATTTCAGTACTAAGCGTCCAGCAGGCATGTCAAATGTCCTAAGTCGTATTGGGGGAAAGAAACAGAAAATGAGTACATTGGAAAAGTCAAAAATGGACTGGGATGCTTTTAAATCTGAGGAGGGCATCACCGAGGAGCTGGCTATCCACAACAGAGGCAGAGAAGGGTAAGAAAGTTTCAGCATGTGTGAAGTAATGTTCACTGTGGTCCAGAGGGATGTTCATCAAAACTGGATGTTGTCATTATTTTATGTGAAAAAATAATTTAGTAAGATTTGTATATATTTATTTATCATACTTGAACTGAACAAAAAGAAAAAAGGAAGTACGCCTGTCCTACAGACATATCATTAAGTAAAACAACCTTAATAACGTATTTAATATTTAATAACAGCTCATATTTCTTTAGACTCTCGTACTGAAGTTATCAGACTCCTTCCAATAATTATTAACTGGCTACCACATGCTTTCAAGATGGCTGTAGTTAAACCATTTCTTTAAGAAGTCTTTCCTCAGCCTCATCTTAGCTAACTATAGAGAAATTTCCAACCTTCTTATTTTCAAATTCTTGAAAGACTAGCTGTCAAATAGCTAACTGAGAATTTGCAGAGGAGTGGTTTATTTGTGGAGGGAGAATCTGCTGGTTGCAGCAGATGACTTCCCCTCCCTGAGCCGTGTTCTGCTGGAGGTTTCTTCCTTTTAAAAATGAGTTTTTTCTTTCCACATTCGCCAAGTACCTGCTCACAAGAGGTCATTTTAGGGCCTTCACCTTACAATATAACATTCCTCGAGGTGATTGTTGTGATTTGGCACTATATAAATAAAATGAAATTGAATTGAATTGTTCTTACTTATTATACTGGTTGAGTATTACTCCTGTGCCAGTAAAAAAAAGTGGAGATGTCTGCTTGTGCTCTAAATGGGTCGAGATCATGTACTTAATTTTATAGCATGGTAAATAAACATAAGTTATCGATCTTTTGCATGTTAACAGCAAAAACGTTTCAACTTTTAGCAGTTGCACAAAGATAGCAGGCAGGCAAGTATCACTCCATTTTTACATTTTTTTTTTTTTGATTGCAAGGTGTGGAAGAAAGTAGGTATGAAAAGAAGTACCTGGTACCAGGTGCCATCACCTAATGAAAAACCCTAAAAACCGTGACGAGCCAATCTGAGCAGGTCCTAGTGGAAAAGGTTGATAAGTGTTGTGAGGGTCCCATTTCTGCTGTAACATTATAGCGTTGAGTTAGTCCCTAATGAAGCTGACCATAAATATTAATCTTGGATTTCTAAACAAAGCAGTCGGTTCATTTCAGCACTGACCAGCATTATACCAAGAGCAGTGCAAACTGGCATCTCAGCAATCAGTAGATCGAGTAGTGAGTGTGTGAATAGTCTGCCAACCAAAGCAGTACAGTATGTTATACTGTGTTTTTTTGTTTTTTGTTTGTTTGTTTTTTACAGTCATTACAGTTTGTTTTTTAAAGATGAAATACCAGAGAGAGTTAAAAACAGATGCTCTGTTTACTGACATGAGGCATTTTCATTGTGTTCCACTGTCTTTGTAGAAATGTGAGTAATCTGGCTGCCTGTAAAACAAGATGCATCCTCATCTCATCAGGCTGTGAACATGCAGAGTGAGGCAGCAGTGATGAGTCACAAGATGACTTTTACAGCTGCACACTTGTGCCAGTTGCACACTGTTCTACTAAACTCTGGCCCTGTCGTTCACAATGAATGAGCTCCCCTAGTAGCAACTACGCACCTTATGCATATATGTGCAATAGAGCCACCCTCAAACAAAGCTGGGGGTGACACTGTGCTTCTTTAGTAAATGACAACAGCCTGCAGTACCTGAATTGATAAAAGTAGGTCTGATCTTTCTGTTCTTTTCTGTTTGTGTGTGCTTAGGTATGTGGAGCGGAAGAATTTCTTGGAGCGCGTCGACCACCGCCAGTTTGAATTGGAAAAGGCAGTACGACTGAGCAATATGAAGCAATGACACAGACTGACAACACACGCACTCGCACAGAGAACAGATTTTTTTTTTTTGTTTCCTGCAGCTCTCTTTCTTTCTCTAATGAGACAGGTGCTGTTGTCCCTTTAAAGTGAGCTCAAACTACTGTTCTTGCTCGAGTCTATTTCAGGCCCGGTATATTAATAGGCTCAGTTTGTATGAAGGAAGGTTGCTGCGTGTGCTTCCATCCTTGTGTAACCAATAACGAATCTCAGACCTTAACACTGCATCCCTCCTGCTTCCTCAAGTGGCTGATTTAAGACCTCAAGGACGGATTAAAAACCACACTGGTTTATTGTAATTTTTCTTTTCTTTTTTTCTTTTTTTTTTTTGGCATAATTTCTCTCTGTTATTGACCTTTCATACCCCTCAGGATCTGGGAACATTACACCATCTATAGTGTAAAACCTGACAGGCCAAGAAGCACAAGGACTCAGATGATCTGTCTGTCTTGTTAGGGTAGAGGCTGTAATTATGTATCTTTGTTGGTGCCGACCAAAACCACAAACACAATAATCTTGTTTTCAGTGAGCTCAAAGCAGAGCCATGCAGTAGTGGTAATACTCACCATATTGATGACTCCAAAATAGCTGAATCATAATATGGTACGTTACAGCTGCTGTTTATTAAAAGAAAAAATGTTACTTCATCCATAAGACCGTTAAGTACCTCAGTCTGCTGGCTGATTCACAGATCAAAGTGTACTTCGTAGAATTTTAGTATTAGTAATAGTATTTTTTTGTTTGTGATAAGCAAATGTATCCGTTAGGTTCAGTGGACAAATGGCTGCAACAGAAAGTGAGACTGATTGGACGTTTCTGTGTTTCCTGGTCCTCGTGTGTGTGGTTGTACCTCTGGTGTTTTATCAATTAAGGAAAACTGTGTGAACTGTCTTATTGCTTTCATCGATAGAATCAGGATAGTTTTGTGTTTAACATTATTCAGATTGTCATGGAAACAAATCTGTATTTTGCAGAGTTTGAAGCTCATTATAAAAACCACTGTGTACAGTTGGCAGTTTGTAGTGTTACTGATTTACGAAAAAAGACCCTATTATTAACACTGCAGACATATGACGTTTAAATGTTCAAGAAAAAATAGTTTGCACATCACATGTAATGATTCTGCACATATAGATGGAACAGAGTGAGTCTTTTCAGTAGAGATGCACCGATCGATTGGCTGGTTTTTAGCTGATTGGCGGTGACCGTGAATGTGCGAGTTCTGCCTTTCCAAAAGTGTAGCTACTGCATTCAACAACAACAAGTGCAGTTCTCCCACCCACAGCAGTGCACACACTCAAATCAATATAAACGAGTCATTTGATTTCATGCCAGTATTTTTAATGAACCAAAATGTAATAATGATTAAATAATATGTGGTTGTCAGTGTAGCATCTGAAGTTTTCTTATTTTCACAGCTCTGCCAGTCTGTGTATTAACACTTTCAAAGTCTTCTCTTACTATTTAAATATATTCAGCTGAACTGCAGGTTGTGGCAGCTGAAAGTAAAACTTTATTGCTCTGCTGAAGCTTCTGATGATGACCTCTGAAAGATGCTAACAGTATAGCTAACAGCAGTAACCAGAACATGCAGGTCTTAAAGAAACTGCAAGTGGGATTACTGCAACATAGTTACAGCTGTGGTAACCGAGTCACTGCGTCATGGAAGAAGATGAGACTGAACCAACATTGTTGCAGTCATCTTGAAATACCACTAGCAAGCACTGCTAGATTTAAAGAAAAAACTATGCTTATGTTTCTTCAGAAAGACTTTGTAAATTTAGAGAACAAGAACTCTTAAGGATTAGTGCTGATATTAGCAGTGTGTAAGGACAAACACAAACAGCTGGGTGAATCACATTCATGTCAAAGCTTGGTCCAAAACATTTGTAGCTGACCTTTGAACTTCTGGCATTCTCCACAGCAGCTTCCCACATCACTTACTTAAAATACACGTTGACCTCGGGGTCAGTGACTGTGAACCCCACATCAGGCGCTGCAGGGCCACATTGCTTTGTGAACTTGCTCCCTGAGACACTGATAGACAAGTGTTGAGCATTGCAAATTTTGTGGAAGATGGTTGGTTTGCCTCAAGATGAAAGCGTCTGAGCTGTGATTTTGGTTATCTGTAGTTGGAGTGTGAGTCACTGGAAATTAGCATACGGCGCAGCATGTTTACACACTCCAGACAAGAAGTAAGATGTTTCAAGTTTAAGCCCTGGGGGACTGAGGCAACCGCTTGCAGTTTCTGTTGAAGAGTGGGAGGTGACTGTCCATCCATTCATCCATCCATTCATCCTTCCTTCCTTCTTTCGCTTATCCGGGGTCGGGTTGCAGGGGGAGTAGCCCAAACAGAGAAGCCAAGACCTCCCTCTACCCGGCCACCTCCTCCAGCTTGTCCGGGGGAACACCAAGGCGGTCCCAGGCCAGCCAACAGATATCTCTCCAGCATGTCCATGGGTCTGCCCTCCTCCCAGTGGGACATGCCCACAACACCTGGCATCCTTGTCAGATGCCCGAACCACCTCATCTGGCTGGACAGTCACCTCCTTTCACTGCTCCTTCACATCGAAAGGAGGTTCACTGACCCATTAACGAAATTCAAAAAATCCAAACTATGGAAACTTATTGAACTTCATGTTGGTACTTAACGAAAGCAGAGGTGGGTGGCAACATGTAGGTATACCAGTAATACAAGCTTTATAGAAGTGCACAGGATTTTGAGGAGTTTGGATTTTTTTTTCTGGTCTAAGAACAAAAACAGCTATAGTTGGTCACATGACATTCTGAAGTCAAAAGTTAAAGATTGCTTGAATTTGAAAAAAAAAACAAAACAATCCTAAACATCCATAGAAATCAACTGAAACAACACAGCAGGCAAAGCATTTTATTTATTTCATTCATAGACACGCTCCCACTTTGGCTTTGATTCTGAATTTTATCTGTAAGCCCAAATACTAGTGGCATTTCTGCCATAGCCACCGTTCATTAAAAAAAATCATAAAATATTATAATTCAGCAACTTTTGGCACAAGCATTATGTGCAATAAACATATATTTTATCTTTTCTCTTCTGCATATCCAGTTAAGTGGCTTATCCCAGCTGCCATAGGGCAGGTGGGGGACACACCATGGCCAGGTTGCCAGTCTGTCACAGGGCTAGCACAGACAGGCAGACGACTATTCACACTCAGTTTTAGAATCACCAGTTAACTTAAGCGCATGTGTTTGGACTGTGGGGGGGAAGCTGGAGTACCTGGAGAGCACACATGGGGAGAAGATACAAACTCAGCACAGCAAGGCCCCGGCCAGATGAATTCGAACCCAAGACGTTCTTGCTGTGAGGCAACAGTCCTAACCATTGTGTAATTCCTGAACATGAATTCAGTTCCTGCATTAACACCACATTTGTAACATGAAGCATGCAGAAGTATAGTTTCCGAGTCTAGACTGTAGCCCAGGAGTGGATGAGTGCATGATGGGGGTTTTATTGTTGTTGTTGTTTAGAAAAAAGATTTAAACTTCTATGATCCACACATTTATTTCTTATTTTCTGCATTCTGAAGGCAATGTGTAAATTTGATCAGGTGAAGATCATCAAAGTGTGTTTTATTTGATCCATCTTCAAATAAATACAATAAACTCAAAGGTCTATTGATTGTCCTATGCCAGTTTTTGAACACTAATGTAGTCTCTTATTCTAGCAAAGCAGGTACTATAGCTGTCGTTTGGTTTGGTGATCATCTTGGGGTTTCAGTAAGCAGAGATCAGCACAGATGTTTTTGAGTCTGGTGTTTTATGAGAGATTTAAATGCATGGACCTATAATGGTGATCTTGTTAAATGAATGTTTTCATTAAAAAATACTCCATCTGTTTTCGTATAATTGGATTTGATACAAAGTACACATCTCCTGAGAAAGCTACCCAATAACGGATGCTTTTTCCAACTTCCTTTCTTCTTCTTAGCCAGCGGGTTCACGCTGTCTGCATGTTTCGGGCTCTGTACCAGCAGTGCGGTGTTGTTCGTGCTGTATGTCATTCATACTGCCAAAGGCCAGCAGCACGGCTTGTACAGCAGTTGTCTGTATCGGTTATCGGTGGTAAATGGTCACGAAGACGCGGAATCGCTGTAGTCTTTTCGTGTATTTCTGGAAACACACCCCAGCATACCCCAGCATACCTCAGAGGGTAGCACGCATGTATCGTAAATGTAGGCCGGTCCCTTTAAGGCAGCGCTGGATGATCCGTGCTGGAGGACGGCGGTAGACCGGGACAGGCACGGCTCTCCTCCCGGTGGATAACGGCACGGACCTGACAGCACGCTGTTCTGACGAATGTACGCGGTTCCGGTCCCTGTGGCCGAGCGGAAGCTTTTCTAAAGATATCCTTGAAGGAATCTGGGACAGAGAAGGGAGCGGCAGGAGACGAGGCGGAAGCCGGCTCTGCTGACACACAGGCGGCAGCACAGGCTTTCATGCTGCCGCTACATCCCGCACTAAAACACTCCGGTCTGAAGAAGCCCACAGCCGCCGTGTCCGGCCGGACCTTTGCCTTTTCTTTGGAGCTAACCATGGACGGGATAACGGAGGACTGACACTTGGAGAGCTAGCAAGAACAATTGGTAGTGTTAAATAAACCAGCAGCAAGCGACGAAGCACCGAGTGGTCTAAAGCAGGAGCACCAGCAAAATGTCTGTCCCTGTGAGTATGTCAGCAAACACGTCGCTGCTCGTCTCCCATGTTTCATATTTGCCGTTTTCTGTGGAGCAGGACGGAGCACGCATAACACTGACAGCTGTCTCACTACAGCACACACCCAGTCACATAGCTGCTGTTAGCCTGGCACCGATTGAAACAGCTACACACTATAATTAGCAAATATGTAATAAGCATTTCTAATTCATAAATGGACTGAGAGCCTATGGCTGATGAGGCTAACGTTGAGTGTACCTTCAACTAGTCTCTGCCCGCTAGTAAAGGACAGTGACGAGCCAGTGTGCCGGAGCTCTGTGAGGCCTGAGCCTGGCTCTGTGGTGGGCGACAGTTGTGTGTGTTTCTGGGCTGGACACACACACACACTGGTTGTAATGCATATATGTGTGTGTTGTTGGGTGCCAGCTGCATTATTTGGATGTTGTAGCGGCGGATGTGAGATGGCCCTGATGGAGCTGTGCTGCTGGTCTTTATCGCATTCCTTAACCTCTCATCTAAAAACAATTCCTGGAGGCTTTACCTACTCACGCGCACGCGCAAGTGCTGTACGGTGTCTGTTTGCCAAAGAGTACTCAGCAATGCACAT